AAGACCAGCCTGGGCGACATAGTGAAACCCTATCTTTACAAAAAGTAGGAAAATTAGCGGGTATGGTGATACGTGCCTGTGGTACCAGCTACTCTCTGGAGACTGAGGTAGAAGGATCACCTGAGCCTGGGAGGCTAAGGCTGCAGTGAGCCATGATTGTGCCACTTCCCTTTAGCCTGGGTGACAGAGTAAGACCCTGTCTCCAAAAAAAAAAAAAAAAAAAAGCGCAAGAAAGTTGATAATTGATTTATAAGTTGTGTGGCACTTACATGATATTGGGTCAGGTAGTTAGGGAAGGAAGATGCCAGACCATCAGAAAAGCCCTCTGGAAGGAGCTGCCGCTGGGACTTAGTTTGCAGTTTGTTCAGCGAGGAGGAAGAGAAGGAAGGGGAAGAAGAATGCCATATGCAAAGACTGGATGAGACAGATGCTGGGCACTGGCTTGTGTGAAGTGAAAGACTGATATGGGAGCAGAGAGACGTCTTAGATAATGTAGGACCAGGCAATAGAGGGAGTAGATGCACAGGCAATGGGAAGTCATCCTGAGTTCCTGATTGGGAAAGACTGTGTTTATTAAAGATGATGATTCTGAAAGTAATGTGCAAGGTATCCTTGGAGAAGGAGATAGTGATGTTAGAAGGACCAGGAAGGGCACTGTTGTGGTAATACAGGTTTAGGGTGATGAGGATCTGGACTAGAGCAGAGCCTTGGGCGGTAAATGACTGGGAAGCCAGTTAGGGTGATGGGAGGGAAAGAGAAGAGCAGAGGAGTGGGTGGTAGAAATAGCAGAAGTGGAAAAGTTGGGAAAGTTTGGGTTTGCGATACCTTGATTTCTCAGTGAGGGGAACATCTAAATGGTGATGTTTTGTCTCACAGCTTTGTTAAAGTATAATTGACAAAATAAACTGCACATAGGTAAAGCAGCAATTTGATAACTGACTATCAATCAAGAGAGTGAACTATCCATCACCCCCAAAATTTCTTCTGCCTTTTTGTAAGCCCCTGTCCCCAAGCAATCACTGATCTGTCACTATAGTTTTATAGAACTTTATACAACTGAATTATACAGTACTTTTTTGTCTTGTATTCAGCGTAATTACTTTGAGTTTATCCACATTGTTGTATGTATCATTTTTTTTTTCCATTGCTTAGTTTTATTGTACAGATGGCATACTTTAATGATTTTTCTTTTTGCTGGAGGGAACAGAGTTTCACTCTGTCACCCATGGTGGAGTGCAGTGGCACGATCTCAACCTCTGCCTCCCAGGTTCAAGCAATTCTACTGCCTCAGCCTCCTGAGTACCTGGGATTACAGGTGCACTCCACCACTCCTGGCTTATTTTTGTATTTTCAGTAGAGATGTTGTTTCACCTGGTTGGCCAGGCTGGTCTCAAAATCTTGACCTCAAGTGACCACCCACCTTGGCCTCCCGATGTTTTGGGATTATAGGCATGAGCCACTGCACTTGGCCAGTATTTTGATCATTTGATGTCAGGAGTGGAATTCAGGGGATGTGACAGGGCATGGCCTGGGTCAGCACCCTTAATCTGGCTGAAGCTTCAAGGGTAGACAAGCTGTCTAGCAGAAAGATTCAAGGCAGGGGGTGGAGGTAGGGGTTAGTTCAGAGGCAGAAGGCACAGCTGAAGAACAAACACCATTTTCTGTGAAAGCAGATTCAGACATCTTGAAAGGATAGTCAGTTTTATTTTCAGAGAGCTCGTGAAGGTCAGCAAATTCAGAGTTTAAGAAACGTGTTTGTTTCGTTTAATAAATTAGTTTTAATTAGCATACTTTCTATGCCAGTGTCATCCTAAAACATATTATTATGTCTTTTTAGGCCATGGGAGAGAAATCCTTTTCTGTTCATAATAATGACGGAGCAGTGTCATTTCAGGTATGTATGTTCTTTGTGTAAAGCCTCATGGAACTTCTTTTTGCCATATAAAAGGGTAATATTTTTTTCAGAGGAATTTTGAATTTACTAATAACAACTTAGATATACCCTGTATCAGTCACTTAAATGCAATAGCTCTCTCTATAACAAGCTCACAAAGGTGCATATGGTTACCTATCTATTTATCAAATAATAAGTGTCTGAGAATAAATAACTTTGTGACTATCAAGTGTAGGGACAAGGTCAGTTTCCAACCCAGTCCTGCCTGGCTGTTCCTGTGGCCCCTCTGTCCTGACCCAGTGCTACCTCCCATTCAAAGTGTGCCAGAAACATAGTACTTTATGCCTGAAAGGACCGTTGGTTATAATTTAGGATGATGTTGTAATTTTAGAGACTTGTAATTTTCACCGAGACTTGGAGGCTTTGAGTGACCCACTCAGCTGTCACAGCTATTAGTTGCCCATGAGTGTTTAGTGGCAGCATAATAGCATATGTATGGGAATAAGATACTGGACTGGGTTTCAGAACCCACTTACTAGCTGGGTAATGTTAGAAAACTCACCAAATTTCTTTTGGTTTTGTTTTTGAGACAAGGTTTGAGTTTTTGAGACAAGGTTTGAGTCACTCTGCTGCCCAGGCTGGAGTGCAGTGATACAGTTATGGCTCACTGTAGTCTCAACCTTCCAGGCTCAGGTGATCCTCAGCCTCCCAAGTAGCTGGGACTACAGGCGTAGACCACCATGCCTGGCTAATTTTTAAATTTTTGTAGAGATGAGGACTTGCTCTGTTGCCCAGGCTGATCTCAAACTCCTGGGATCAAGCAGTCCTCTTGACTGGGCCTCAGTCAAGATGCTGGGATGACAGATGGGAGCCACCCTGCCTAGTCTCACTTTCTGAACCTCACTATTTAATCGTCTAAAAATGGCAGCGTGTGGTGGCTCACGCCTATAATCCCAGCACTTTGGGAGACTGCAGTAGGCGGATTGCTTGAGCCCAGGTGTTTGAGACCAGCCTGGGCAACATGGTGAAATTCTGTCTCTACAAAAAATGCAAAAAGTAGCCAGGAATCTATAGTCCCAGCTACAAGGAAGGCTGAGGTGGGAGGTTCACTTGAGCTCAGGAGTTCAAGACTAGCTTGGGAAATATGGTGAAACTTTGTCTCTACAAAAAAAAAATATACAAAAATTAGCCAGGTGTGGTGCTGCATGCCTGTAGTCCCAGCCACTAGGGAGGCTGAGGTAGGAGGATTGAAACTTGAGCCTGGGAAGTCAAGACTCACATAGTGAACCCTGAGCATGCCACCGCACTGCAGCCTGGGTGACAGTGAGACCCTGTCTCAAAAATAAAAAAAGAAAAAAAAATTCCTACAGTGAAATGCACAAGTCTTGTCTTGTGTACAGTTTGTTCAATTCTGACAAATGCATATACCCATGTAATTCACTCGCAATATATCAAGATTTCTGTTTCCATCCTCAGAGAAAGCCCCTCTGTCCCCACAAACACTGTTCTGATTTCTTTTACCGTAGATCATTTTGCCTGTTCAACAATTTTTGTATGTTCTTTAAGCTTAGTAACCATCATTTCATCACTGTCCATATTAAAAGCTAACAGTTATTGAGAACTTGCAGGGTGCTCATTTGCTCAGAATCCTCCAACAGCTTTCCATCTGTCTTGGAGTAAAGCCCAAGTCTTCCTACTGGTCTGCAAGGCCCATGTGGTCCAGCCCCTGTTGTCTGTCTGACCTCAGCTCCTGTTATTCACACTCTGTTCTCCCACACAGGCCGCTTTGCTCTTTCTGGGACGGATCAGCCTTTCGGCTCTGCTCTAGCTGTTCCTACAGGCAGGAATGCTGTCTCTCAGAATTCCGCAAGTCTTTGCTGAAATGTCACCTTCTCAAAGCTTCTCTCAATTGCAGCTCACTCCTGTTTCCCTCATTGTGCTCTGGTTTTCCTTAGCGTTATCCTTCCAACATGCCATTTGCTGTACTGACTTATATTTATTATCTGTCTCCCCCTCTACAGAAAGTACCTAAGGGGTGGAGTTTTCTGTCTTTTATTCTTGTGTCTGAAACTCCTTATCTTGGCCTCTATTTACAGAAACTAATGAACCAATGCTAGGCATTGTGCTAAGTGCTTATATGTCATTATCTCAGATCATTCTCTCAACAATTCTGTGAAGTCGGTACTGTTACTTTTTCTCTTTTACTGATGAAGAACTGAGGCTCAGAGAGATAATGTAACTTGCCCCAAGTGAAGGATTCAGGTCCACATTTGTTTGACTCCAAGGCGTGTGTGTTTAACCACTTTGCCTTTTACTGCCTCCTTGAGAAAATACAGAAGGTCCTTTTTTCTCGTCCTTCTCTCACCTTAAAATACTTGTTAATAAAATGAGTTTTTATCCCCCCTTTAATCACAAAGGAAAGTGTGATAGGAGGTACGCGTGTCAGGCATAGTCCTTTTTGTGGGGTGAGCATCCAGGCACAGCAGTCTGCGTGGTGATGAACACAGGCCGGAACAGCCCATCCACACGGTTCTTGGGATGCGTGGAGCAGGCCATGGATGGGTGGCTTGCTTTTCTCTGGCTTTCCCCCACCTTGCAAAGAAGTCGTGATTTCTCGCTGTTCTACCCAATGTCTCCCAGTCTTGGCCAGTGCAGTCCATTTTGAGCTCTTCTGCTTCATTCATGGCATGGAGATAGTGGTTTATCTACCTAAATGCAGGAAGGGGATTGTCAGGCCTTATTCCTACTCTAGAGTTCACAGTTTTGTTTCGTTTTTGTCTCTAAGGGCCAGGTGCCTCCTCTGATCAACCATGGTGATTCTATTGCTTTTTAAAAAATATTGTATCTTTTCAACTTTTATATCTTTTTTAGACTTCCCCTGAATCTTACTTTTAAAATAGAAGTTGTCAATGTGTTTAGGAAAGTTTCCTTATTCTGGCTAGCTCAGGGGACTAAAATACACATACACATTCACAACCACAACTGAGTTTGGTACCTGGTCTAACTGTTTGGATAATTCCAGCTCACATGTTCTTGGTCTTTTATTTTTATTTTGGTCAGATGTCTTTTTCCCCCCGATTCTTCTAAGTTGTGAGGTACAGTATACATGCAGAAGACTGTAAAGTACTTATATTTAGTTGAAGAAGTTAAGAAAGAACAGTCACCTTTATGTGAGCACCTGAGAAACCTCGTGTCTCCCTCGTGTTCCTTCCCAGCTCTAGAGAAACCCCTATCATGAAAAATGCTACCATAGTCATTTCCTAGCTTTTCTTTGTAGTTTAATAGGTATATATATGTAGACCTAAAAAGATATTTCAGGCAGATTTCTTTTTATTGGTAGAACTTATGGCTGAAGTAAAATTTTCTTAGGCTTGACCAAGAAGTCATATTCTCTGAGTCTCTCTGTCTTTTGGTTTACATTAAACTTCATCTAAACTCATGAAATGTATGAAAAACAGAAAACTGTCTAAATATAGAAAATGTTGCTTTTGTTATTGTTCTCTAAAATTATAGTTGTAAATTTTGATGAAATACTGGTTGTTTTCAAGTACGAGGTGAGCCTCTTTTTTTAAGGAGTTTTTTGTGCCTATAAAGAGCAAAATAATATGTTAGCTTGAAAACTAGGTAAATACTGTCTTAGGTTATCTTTGAAGACTTCTGCAGAGACCATCACAAATGTCTAGATCTGTGATAGAGCAGGCATAGAAAAATATTCATTGTTGAAGCAAGGTTGTGGCTATGTAGCTTTCACTGTACAATTGGCAGCTGTTCTGTGTACTTGAAAATTGTAACAGACCAGGTGCGGTGGCTCAAGCCTGTAATCCCAGCACTTTGGGAGGCCGAGGTGGGTGGATCACGAAGTCAAGAGATCGAGTCCATCCTGGTCAACATGGTGAAACCCTGTCTCTACTAAAAATACAAAAAATTAGCCGGGCATGGTGGCGCGTGCCTGTAATCTCAGCTACTCAGGAGGCTGAGGCAGGAGAATTGCCTGAACCCACGAGGCGGAGGTTGCAGTGACCCGAGATCGCACCATTGCACTCCAGTCTGGGTAACATGAGCGAAACTTCGTCTCAAAAAAAAAAAAAAAAAAAAAGGGAAAAAAGAAAATTGTAACAAAATGTCAGAGGGGAATCATAGGATAAGAAAACATCAGTTTAGAGTCGGGAGCAAGCGAGCAGGAGAGTGTGCAACTGACGCCCCCCCAAGCAGAGTGATGCTAAATCAAAGGAGCTTGTTTCTTCAAGCTCTTCTGGCAGTGATTCTGACAGTGAGGTTGACAAAAAGTTAAAGAGGAAAAGCAAGTTGCTCCAGAAAAACCTGTAAAGAAGCAAAAGACAGGTGAAACTTTGAGAGCTCTTTCATCTTCTAAACAGAGCAGCAGCAGCAGAGATGATAACATGTTTCAGATTGGGAAAATGAGGTATGTTAGCGTTCCAGATTTTAAAGGGAAAGTGCTAGTTGATATTAGAGAATATTGGATGGATCCAGAAGGTGAAATGAAACCAGGAAGAAAAGGTATTTCTTTAAATCCAGAACAATGGAGCCAGCTGAAGGAACAGATTTCTGACATTGATGATGCAGTAAGAAAACTGTAAAATTCGAGCCATATAAAACCTGTACTGTTCTAGTTGTTTTAATCTGTCTTTTTACATTGGCTTTTGTTTTCTAAACGTCGTTCTTCAAGCTGTTGTATGTTTGGATTGCAGAAGAATTTGTAAAATGAATACTTTTTTTAATGTGCATTATTAAAAATGTTGAGCAAAGCTAATTGTCAGCTTTATTAAGGAGGATTGCTTTGTGTCCACCACCTAGCGTAAAATAAAATCAAGTAATACAATCTTAACTGTTGTGGCCTTTTCTGATCATAAGCGTTGGTACTTAACTATTTAAGGCCAAAGGTAACAGTTTTTATAGATCTTTTAGTTTCATCTCAGCTTTTACAATAAAAGGATTTGTATTGCGTTGAGTTTATAAGCTTTTGGTTTGTGCGATTCATATTTGATCTGTTCTCTTCCAATCCACCCCAATGATTTTTTTCACTCTTTTTTTACCTCATTTTCCTTTTATAACTTAATCTCTTCATGTTCAGTTTTTACTTCACTCTTTATTTTTTTTGAGTATGTTATGCTTATTTGGAACGTCAGTGAAACTGTCAAAATGTTGTCTCAATAATGTACTTATATGAGAACTACAATCACCAACTCTACTGTGTTCAATATTAGCAGATCTAGTTTGATAAGCAACATGGCTTGTGAGAAAACTGAGCAGGTGTTTGTCGTTACCCGTAGTGTTCTGTGTAGTTATTGCTTAGTCTGCAGAAAATAATGACTTAAATGAGATATCTGACTTGCTTTCACTTATTAAACACGTTCATGAGATGATGTCTGTAACATCAGATATTGTTAAGACTAGGATTTAATAAAAATTGTGCAAGCTTAAAAAAAAAAAGAAAGAAAAAGAAAACATCAGTTTAAACTCTGCCATGAGAGTCGATAATTTAAGCAGTTTGTCTTTATCTCCTTCAGTCCATTAATCTTCATAATTTATTTATAAGGTTTAAAAATACAACTGAATAGAATTGAAGGAAAAAGTAAACAACACTTTAAAAATAAAAGAAGAAAAATATATATATATAGCTGAGGGTTTGGGTACCTTTAAATGTTTTCTTCTTCACTTTCAGTTTTTCTTTAACATCAGCACTGATGACCAAGAAGGCCTTTACAGTCTTTATTTTCATAAATGTCTTAGAAATGAATTGCCGAGTGACAAGTTTTCATTCAGCCTTGATGTGAGTACTGTCTGGAGATTGTTCTATGTGGATTTTGTCAGCATAAAATGCAAAATTTACTTCTGCGTAAGATTAGGTTTTAAGAACATTAAACCTGGGAAGTGGAGGTTGCAGTGAGCCAAGATCATGTCATAACACTCCAGCCTGGGGGAGAAGAGTAAAACTCCATCTTAAAAAAAAAAAGAATGTGGTGGTTTCAAGTGGGTGATTTAGGTTAAAAAACAAACAGAAGGCCGTTTGCAGTGATTTACTCCTGTAATCCCAGCACTTTGGGAGGTTGAGGTGGGCAGATCACCTGAGTCCAAGAGTTGGAGACCAGTGTGGGCAACATGGCAAAACCCCCTCTCTACAAAAAATATGAAAATTAGCCAGGCGTGGTGGTGTGCACCTGTAGTCCCGGCTACTCAGGAGGCTGAGGTGGGAGGATTTCTTGAGCCCAGGAGGCAGAGGTTGCAGTGAACCGAGATTGCACCACTACACTCCAGCCTGGGCAAAAGGGTGAGATGCTGTCTCAAATTAGGAAAAAAAAAAGGGAGTGTGGTTGTTATTTGCTGGCATTCACTTTTTTGTCCCCCAAGACTGAGTTTCACTCTTGTTGTCCAGGCTGGAGTTCAGTGGCATGATCTCAGCTCACTGCAACCTCCACTTCCCACATTCAAGCAATTCTTCTGCCTCAGCATCCCGAGTAGCTGGGATTACAGGTACTTGCCACAACACCTGGCTGATTTTTTTTTTTGTATTTTTAGTAGAGACGGGGTTTCATCATGTTGGCCAGGCTGGTACTGAACTCCTGACCTCAGGTGATCCACCCGCTTTAGCCTCCCAAAGTGCTGAGATTACAGGTGGGAGCTACCACGCCCAGCCACTGGTACTCACTCTCTAAGCCTAAGTGAGATAGCTAAGATTGCAAATTGCTGAATAAAGGATGATGTGTTCCTGAAAAGTAAAAATTAATTTCATGCTCGTTTCAGATTGACATCACAGAGAAGAATCCAGACAGCTACCTCTCAGCAGGAGAAATTCCTCTCCCCAAATTATACATCTCAATGGCCTTTTTTTTCTTTCTTTCGGGGACCATCTGGATTCATATCCTTCGAAAACGACGGTAAACTATTACTTCTTTGAGCCCTTCAACTTAAGAATGAGTTGGGATTTGGATAATTTCAGTTTTTGTGGGCTTCTGAACTTGGAGGCAGTTGGCACTGAGCAGTCTTGTTCCTTTAGAAGGGCGTCTTCCTGGAAACACTAGGAAGACTGTGCGGGAGCATTATGGTGTGGGAGGCCTTTGCATGCCTTGGTGTCTGTTCACTTCCCGTTGTTTGTTTAAAAAGCACATCTAAATATTTTTGATAATATGCAAGCAAAATAGACATAGTGGAGATCCCACAGTCCAGGACTGGGAGTAAACACATGGGTCTCATTGAGGGGCTGTTTATTCTGGAGAGGAAGTTAGTGACGATGACTGCCTGGCGAGAGCACTGAAGGCCTTGGCTCAAAGTTGTGCTGGGATAGATTCTCTGCATTGACTTCCAGATGCTTGTCACTGGACAAAACCTCTTCAAAGCCCATCTGCCTGGGTTTTAGTCTTTTTCTGAAACCCCTGAGGCTTTAACTTCCTGTACTTGGTTCTTGAGGGGAGCAGCTGCATATGCGGGAATTCTTTCTCCTTCCAAGAAAATTGAAAACAAAATATTAATATTCAGTTAGAGAATTGTGTAAAGTATTATAAGACCCATAAACTGAGTAAGTGATGGTATGCGAATATGCTATTATAATATAGATTGATTCAAATTCATAAAATAATTAAGCACCCTGAAATACCTCTTTCTCTGGAGTGGAAATGGGAGACGTCTTTAATCCCTGCTAGCTTGATTGTGTTTTAATGGAAATGCTCAGACTCTGGTATATTAGACTCTGGGTGGGTTCAGTTGCTGTTACCTATTTGTTGTGGTATCCTGTATACCCACCAGATGGAAAGATTTTTTTGTTTACTTGGGAAGAACCTACATAATCATATTTGGACTAGATTAACAAGCAGCAGTTACTAAGAAAGAATCCTATGGGCTGAGTGTGGTGGCTTATGCCTGTAATCCCAGTGCTTTGGGAAGCCAAGGCAGGAGGAGCACTTGAGTCCATGAATTTGAGACCATCTTGGGCAACATAGCAAGACCCCATTTCCTTTTTTTACTTTTCTTTCTTTCTTTTTGAGATGGAGTCTCACTCTGTCAAATTGTGGTAACAGTTTTCAATCTGTGGTTAAATGAGGCTGACCTATTGTGTACAAATCTCATCTTTAATTTTTGTTGGAGTATAGGGTGCATGGAGGAAAGTCTCTCACTTAAGCCCTGCCAGTGTTTTCCCAGGAGTCTTAGAGTCAGTTCTGGTAGGTTGGAAACCCAATGATATAAAGGCATGTGACCAAGGCCACGAGGTACATTTCACAGGCCCCTGAAAGCTGGAAGCAACTGAGAGACCTTTGCCTCATTTATTGAAGAGAGGGGAAACGAGAGCCAGTGTCACCCGACAGGGCTAGGACTGGAACCCGGGTCTGCTTGCTAGTATGTATCAGGCCCCTCCCAGCTTCGAGTGTAGGTAGAACTAGTATTTGAGCCAAGGTCAGTGAGGCTTGTTCTTTCCATCACGTCTCTGCCCCACACAGTCACGGCTCACTGCACTTCTAACTGTGGACTGCAAGTCAAGGTTACTGGAGTGTGTGAATGAGCACAGCTCTTTGCGGTGGGTGGTTTTATACTCTAGGTAAATCTCATTGCCATTGACTAGTTACAGATGATTCTGGCCTTGACTTCCTATTTGACCTTCAAGTAGGTGAGCACTGGAATAGGAAAGTACGGGGGAGGAAATGAGCCCGGAAACTGACATCACATTGTGGCACACTCTCATTATCACTCGGTGCCAGGCCTTCTCTATTGGTCCCTTTCATTTCCTGTCCCCTCTCCCACTCCTTCCCAGCCATGGAGAACTGCTCAGATGTGTTTTGTATGCGTTTTTTGATTTTTTTTTTTTTTTTGAGACGGAGTCTCTTATCACCCAGGCTGGAGTGCAGTGGTGTAATCTCGGCTCACTGCAACCTCCGCCTCCTGGGTTCAAGCAATTCTGCCTCAGCCTCCCGAGTAGCTGGGATTATAGGCATGTACCACCATACCTGGCTAATTTTTGTATTTTTGGTAGAGACAGGATTTCACCATGTTGCCCAGGATGGTCTCGAACTCCTGACCTCAGGTGATCTGCCCACCTTGGGCTCCCAAAGTGCCACGCACCCAGCATCATTTTTGGATATTTCTTATAAATAAGTACTGTTTATTGTGTTGCATGTATTTTAAATTTACATAAAATATTTGTAGACATTGTTCTCATACATTTTTCACTCAGTAATATCCTTTCTATGATCTAGCCATATGGCTGAGTGTGCGTCTCATTCATTGATTTTTTTACCTACTCCACAGCATCCCATGCTCTCTGTCCTCATGTTTGACTGCTTTGGTCCTTTAGTGATGGACACAGCCTGGGCTGCATACGTTTCCCTGATACCCCAGCCAATGCTGGCATGAACCTCCTAAGGTCCCGTATGGATCTGTACAGCCTCCGAGCTGCAGTTCCGGAAGGCAGCACACTGTGCCATGGGTAGTTAATTTCTTTTCTTTTTTGAGACAGGGTCTCACTCTGTCACCCAAGCTGGAGTGCAATGGCACCATCTCGGCTCATTGCAACCTCCGCCTCCTGAGTACAAGCAATTCCTGTGCCTCAGCCTCCTAAGTAGCTGGGACTACAGGCACACACTACCATGCCTGGCTAATTTTTGTACTTTTAGTAGAGACGGGGTTTCACCATGTTGGCTAGGCTGGTCTTGAACTCCTGGCCTCAAGTGATCCTCCTGCCTTAGCCTCCCAAAGTGCTGGGATTACAGGCATAAGCCATAACACCTGGCCATCGGTTAATTTCATTAAGGGCCAGATTGCCTTCCAGCCTGGCATATAGGTTTATATGTCTACCAGTGGTGTATACATAAGGTTTGCTGTTTCTCCACATTCTCACCA